CCGTCAGCGCGCGGTGAGTCTGGCTGCCCTGCGGCTTCGCGGAGGGGAGAGGCCGCCCTTCGTGTTTGGGGCGTGCTGCTGGCCCTCCTGGCACGGGCTGCCTCGGCGGCCTGCGGTACCCGCTGGCCAAAGGAACACCGAGCACTTCAATAATAATTGTTTACACAGTCCGGTAACTGGTGTAGGAATTTGCCCCCAAACCGAGGAGAGGCGCAAGTTGAACGTGAGGATTGCACCACCCTCTATTTTAAACTAGTTGTCATATATTTTAAGTCCACGAATTAGAATGTTAAAAAAAAAAAAAAAAAGCCAAAGGAGTTTGTGCTTATTTCCATATGGCAAATAATTGATCTGAGCTTTTCCACAGCCCCAAAATAAACCCTTACTCAGATTTCATAGAATCACAGAATGGTTTGGGTTGGAAGGGACCTTAAAGACCATCTAGTTCCAACCCCCCTGCCATGGGCAGGGACACCTTCCACTAGACCAGGTTGCTCAAAGCCTCATCCAGCCTGGCCTTGAACACTTCCAGGGATGGGGCATCCACAGCTTCTCTGGGCAACCTGTTCCAGTGCCTCACCACCTTCTGGGGGAAGAAGTTCCTGATATCCAATCTAAACCTCCTCATTTTCAATTTAATCCCATTACCCCTTGTCCTGTCACTACAGGCCCTTGTAAAAAGTCCCCCCCAGCTTCCTTGTAGCCCCTTCAGGTACTGGAAGGTGCTATAAGGTCTCCCCGGAGCCTTCTCTTCTCCAGGCTGAACAAGCCCAACTCTCTCAGCCTGTCCCCATAGCACAGGTGCTCCAGCCATTTCGGCTCCAGGTATTTCAACAGAGGTCACTTGGGTGCAGGGAAAGCAAGCTCCAGTCTCATGGTGTAGACATGAAGTTGCTTTTATTGAGAATAAGTCACAGTAAATGTAGGTTTCCCCATGCTTTTGATGACATAGTTAACTGTTTCTGTGTCTTTGGTGAATTGCATTTCAGATGTAGAGAGGAAGATGCTACAAACACCTTTGGATAGTTAATACGAAATACCAGAAGAGGAATTATGAACGGAGTATTCCACTGGGGATTTCAGTGTTTGTTTTCCATCTGGTGTTTTAGCTCTTTGTAACGGCGGGCAGTGTATGAGAAAGGCAGATCCTAAAGCCAGTATCGCCTTGTGCTTTTAGGTGATGCACCGCTCTCTGGGGAACTAGATAATCATCTTTTTGTAGTAACTATTACGCCGTACCTGGAGAAATCCTTCCAGTAGTCAAAGCAGTTGCTCATTTTCACATCTGAATGTTTGTTTTATTTTAGGGTATGCTATGACTGGCTTCAGACTCCCCATCACTGCTTTTAGAAAACTAAATGTCTGGTTTGGACTGTGGGAGAAATTCCCCTCTAATAAACTGTATCTCTCTTGGCGGAGGAGTGTATTCTGTAGCTGTCAAGCCAACACAGCAAACTACATGAGATGTTTCAGCTTTTCCCCGGTAAAACTCTGCGCACTAAGACTTTCTCCAGAGTGTATCTGGGTGCTTTCTCTGCGGAACAAAAGTAACAAGAGCTCTAAAAGTAGCAGACAAACTGTACAAGAGGAAGAAGAGGAGGAAGATGCAGAGGAAAGAGATTTGGAGGATGAATTTGAAGATGACCCCAACGTAGTAAAAGATTACAAAGATCTTGAAAAAGTCGTACAGTCTCTTCGATATGATGTGATCATGAAAGCTGGTCTGGACGTTGCAAGAAAGTAAGTATGGAAGAAGCAACCTGCTGATGAGAAAGATGCCATGTGTCTAAAATTTGAGTTTTGAGACCCTTTTATTGTTGGAATAACTCAGTATTTGGGTTGGTTTTTTTTTTTGGTGTAGCTGTTTCGACTGTCTAAAAATATGTTTTAGATGTAAGAGTGTTCTTGCTTGTTTTACCTTACCTCCCTTGAAACAGCCTGTTTTCTGCTTCTGGCTGTCTGCAGTATTTCTAAGATTGCTCAGGAGGCATTTTCTGTCAGTTACTGTTTATTTTAAATGAAGAAATTGCAAAATACTAAGTAATACAAAAATATCTAACCTGAGATTGAGGGAGTAAAATAACACGCTACTTCATGGCTGTAGGTGATGACGTAGGATAAACCTAATGTGCTAGGTCAACCAGGTAAACGCAGTGTGCAAATGCATCAGTGTTTGATTGGATGCAGCCTGCAGAGGCCTTGTATCGCAGCGTTGTTGGAATATTACTGTAACGTGATCACTTAAAAATTACTGAACTGGCTGGTGCAGGAAAGGGGATGTTACTTGTCGCATATTCAGGAGGCAGATCTTTAGAAACAGCTTTTTATTGCTTGCACCTGTGACACAGAGCAACTATATTGGTTTTTTGGTTTAATATCTATGAAAGACTTTGCTTTGCTTCCAGGTCAGGTCTGCCCTGACCTTAAGTAAAGGTATCCTTGTGCACAGAGTTGTGGAAATGTGCCCTTGCGTACGAGCGGTGTTCTTGTGTGTCTGCAAAGAAACAATTGCACTCGGTCTGCTGCATGCTGTAAATGCAATAAAACCTTGTTTTTCTTCAGTAAAGTAGAAGATGCATTCTACAATAATGAACTCAGGCTGAATGGAGAAAAACTATGGAAGAAAAGTAGAACTGTAAGACTCTCTAAAATTTAAATCTTTTAATGCGGTACAAGCGAATAACTAAGGCATGATCTCTTCTTCTCCCTCCTTTTACTGGGGTCAGAAGAGCTAACCACTAATCGCTCTGCAGAGGTGAAAGAACAGCATTGCTAACACTACTTCCAGCTCTCTGCGTGACACTGATTCCCCAGGCAAGACACTATTCCCTAAGGCAGGCAGGAGCCCTGTGGTGTTAGAGAGTAAAATCTAAGGCTGAAAGTCGGGAGGGGCGGTCAGTAGCAAGGACAGAACTTTCCAAGTTGCTGAAGTGGTGATGGATGTGAGGCTGGTGGAGCAGGGACATGATTAAATCTGAGGAGTTGATGGATTTTAAGAGCGAGTTTGGTGATAGAAAGGGATTGAAACTGGGGTAGCTCAGGAGAGGTTGCTGTGTCTGTAATGGAGCACCCAGGAGCACAGTCAGGGGAAGAGGCAGATGCGTTGCCAGCCATTCTCTTTCACCACAGAGCTCACCGGAACAGTGACAGACATACTTCCACCCCCGCCCTCTGTGTAAGGGTCATCTGAGGGGGTGGGTACTGCCAAAAAAGGGCAACAAGAAGTTTTAATTCCTGATGCCCTAAAGTTAAGGCTGGTTTTTGTGAGGCATACTGCTTCTGCAACTTTGGGAAGGAACACGAACGGTTGACCAGCTCTCTGGTCTTTTTTAAAGCACTTCAAAGTGTTTTAAAGGAAGAACTCTGTTTTTCTGTTCTGTGTCTGTGTCATAGAATCATAGGGTTAGGGTTAGAATGGTTTGGGTTGGAAGGGACCTTAAAGATCATCCAGTTCCACCCCCCCTGCCATGGGCAGGGACCCCTTCCACTAGACCAGGTTGCTCAAAGCCTCATCCAGCCTGGCCTTCAACACTTCCAGGGATGGGGCATCCACAGCTTCTCTGGGCAACCTGTTCCAGTGCCTCACCACCCTCTCTGTGAAGAATTTCTTCTTGATGTCTAATCTAAACCTCCCCACTTTCAATTTAAACCTGTTCCCCCTTGTCCTGTCACTACAGGCCCTTGTAAAACGGCCTCCCCCAGCTTCCTTGTAGGGCCCCTTGTAGTGTCGATAGAAAAAGGTTGACAGGAAACAGCCTTCAGGAAGAAAAATGTAGTGCGCGACAGCTTTTTTCACAGGAGTTAAGTGTTGGTTGTAGGACAGGAAGGGTAAAGCTCTTGGCAGAGAAGGTCAGGAGACGTTTAATTGCTTATTGCCAGGGCTCTCCTAGAAGTTCATAGCTGCAGGATCTATAATGGGTCTAGTATTGCCTGCCTTCCTCCTCTCCTGTGAGACAGGAATATTGAATGGGAAGAAAGGAAGGAAACTAAAAGGGACATAGACTGTGGGGATTTGTTTTTCCCAGGGCATGTTTATAATCGCTCATCTTCTCTTTCCATTCCCAGGTGAAAATTGGTGACACGCTGGATCTCATAGTAGGTGAAGATAAAGAAACGGGAACCGCTGTAGTGATGCGGGTAGTCTTAAAAAAAGTCTCCAACAAAACTGAAAGTGAAAAATACAAAGTAATTTTGAGGCGTTGGAAAAACTTAAAAGTGCCCAAACAGGATGTACTTAAGTAACGGGGTTGCATGCGGCAGCGTAAGATTTTTTGCGGAAAGCTGTGTTAAATACGAATTTTGGTTAAACAAAATTACAGCAAGTACCCCTTTGTAAGGGTTTGTGTTAGATGTTACCTGCCTCTGCTGCGGACGTCGGCATTCATGCCATAAGCCTGTCGCGTTTCGCTGTTAGCTTCACGTACAGTGGGATAACCGATCCAACCCTTGCATTTCCAGGCAGTTTCCTTACAGGTGTTCGAGATCATGAACCAATAAACTCTGATTTGATCACTTGCTGTCTAGTTTCATTAACCGTCAGAAAGGTTACGTCACAACAAGCGGAACTGCGTTCTTAGCTCACAGTGACAGAGGGGGGAATCATGGCAGCGATGCTCTGCTGTCGTGGAGAAGGCGGATCCGTGAGGAGACGGCTGTAGTACTGATGATTTTTACTGCTTAAGTAACCATGCAGAGGAAAATGAAATCTGTTTGTCACGTATTCGTTTCAGGGTGGCGCTGAAGAGACTATTGGATACTTAAGTGGTTGTCATGGTTTAACTCCGGCTG